TCTCCCCCTTTTCCCTTCAACCCCTTTCAGGGTTCATCACGGGTTCTAGCATAATACATTGCCCGGGGAATGCAAAGCAGCGAAATGGAGGCAGCTCTTCCTCTGAGCTCTGCAGTGGCCCTCCAGCCCTGCAGACAAAGCCATGGGCCTCCCGCAGCTCTGGAGGACCGAGGTCTCAGCGGTCCCACTGTCCACACTGCTCGACCCCTACGCTGGGCGGACTTCCGCTTCCCGAGCTAGGACATGGTTGCCCCAAATTATCCCCTGCCCTAGGACGCTTTTCTTCTGTCCCTTTTCCCCCCTCCCACTGTACCCCTGAAAGGACTCTGGTGATGGTGTCCCTAGTAGAGGATGTATTCTGACCACTTTTTGGTTTTTTCTTTTTGGAGAGGTTTTTGCTATAGGGCATGTGCACTCGCCAGAAAGACAGAGAGAGACAGAGAGACAGAAAGCAAGAAATCACCCCCCCGGGGGGATGGCCACGCCGCAATCCCTTCTCCTCCATTCTCCTCTCGGGATCTTGGGCACACACACACACGCGCCTGGGGTGAGTTTAAGCCACCAGGTCCGGGACTTGAACCGCAGTTGACTACATGGGAGTCCAGTGACATAGCCATTACGCCAACTGCAGGTCCTGACCACTTTCCCAATCCTCTTGAATATCCTTTCTATTGGTCAAAAATTGGACCATGTAATCAAAGCTCTTCCAAAGGAAAAAAGAATACCCCATCTGATAGGGCACTAAAATATATATGATTCTTTTTTTTTTTTTTTTTTGGAGAGATTTTCACTACAGGGCGCGTGCGCTCGCCAGACAGAGAGAGACATAGAGAGAGAAAGTGCGAAATCACTCCCCGGGGGGATGGATGGCCACGCCGCAATCCCTTCTCCTCCATTCGCCTCTCGGGATCTTGGGCACGCACACACATGCGCCCGGCGTGAGTTTTAAGCCACCGGGTCCAGGACGCAAACCGCGGTTGACTACGTGGGAGTCCAGCGACATAGCCATTACACTAACTGCTGGTTCCCTAAAATATATGATTCTTGACATGTGGACTTGAAATGAACACTTAGGTATTTGTCATAAATCATAGAAATGTATTGCATCTTCAAATGTGAGTTAAGTTACAAAGTGATAGACACACACACACACACATAGATCTCCCATATACATATTTCACCTCCCACCCTTCTCCCGTGTGTGTGTGTGTGTGTGTGCGTGCGTACATGTGTGTGCGTGCGTCCCTCCCACCCCTCTCTCCCATGAGCTGTCATTTAGGCCTCTGATGAAAAACATGACCCCCAGTGAAGGAAAACCACGCCGAGAGACGCTCGGTTCCGTATAAGCAGCACAGTCATGGAAAGCAGAACTTGCATGATGAATGACGGTGAAACAGAGAGCAAAGTAAAAACAGTACGAGTGGAACACCAAGCGCCGCGGTGAACGGGTGGCCGTGTGCGAGGTGACGTGCAGGGACATGGGGCGGGGGAGGAGGGCCGGAGGCTGTGTCACCTCGCCCTGTGAGTCACCCTCCTGCGGCTTCAGACTCTGAGAAAGAACAGAGCTGGGCAGAGGGCTGCAGGGAAGGGAAGCTTCATCCTGTCTCCGGACGCCCCTTGATCCTCTCTGTCCCCGCTCCTCTGCAGCCCCAGGAAACAGCAGACAAGCCGCTCCAAGGCTCCCTGTCTGTCCCACTCCTCATCCCTAATGCACAGGGACAAAAGCGCCTGGCCCCAAGCCTCTCTGAGCACGTGACTAGACTGTCAGGAAACCTGAGCATCATTACTGCCTCTAGTTCTGCAGGGTCAGCACCGGAGGGTCTCGGGAGACCAGAGGCATTTAGCTTTCTCCTCTGCTCACCTGAGAACCCAGATTCCATTTCCCACTTACCCCATCGACTCTCAGCAACACCCCCCAGCCCCCCCGAAGACGCTACACTCTTAGGACCACAGACCCGAACTGACATACGATCCACTTGCTCCCTAGACAACGACCACCAACACTAGTGTGCTATTTTAAATTGCTTTTTAGAACTAGGTTTAAAAAAATTACATTTTGTGCTTGCTTGCTCAATGCTTGAAATTATGGCAGGGGAGATTCTTTAGGGTGAAGTATTGAAAAGCTAGGTAACTCCCATCAAGAGACTGTGTGTTAATTTGAAGCTCTCAGTCTACAAGGGCACTTAAGACAACGGAAGAATGCCTAGGTCTCACGGCAAAAGATCCCAATACGGCAGTTCCGGGTTGGAGCCCCAAAACGCCAATCTCTAAAAAGTTCTCTGGTGAAGGTGAAGTTGCTGATCAGGGCACCATAGTAATAGATTTTGGGACCAGCAGTTGATGTAATGGCTATGTCACTGGACTCCCATGTAGTCGACCGCGGTTCGAGTCCCGGACCTGATGGCTTAAACTCATGCCGGGTGCATGTGCGTGCGTGCCCAAGATCCCGAGAGGAGAATGGAGGAGAAGGGATTGTGGCGTGACCGTCCCCCCTGGGGGGTGATTTCTCACTTTCTGTCTCTATGTCTCTCTCTGTCTGTCTGATGAGTGCATGTGCCCTATAGTGAAAACCTCTTTAAAAAAAAGGAAGAAATACATTCCTAAAAAGCAGTATGATAATATTTTTCAAATAAGATGCCACATTTTAAACCCAGCAGCACTACTCATTTCAAAGAAAACAAATTGCAAAGTCTTTTAGAAAGCTCAAGTGCCTAATTTATTAATATCTAAGTTTCCATTTTCATATATTCAGCTTTCTTAATCTAGAGGCATGTACATCCCCAAGACATTGCAGCTCTTTATCCAAAATACCTAAATACAGTATGAACTATGTAAATGATGCTAATTTTAAAAAGCCAACATTAGGGGACCAGCAGTCAGCGTAATGGCAAAAAAACCTCTCCAAAAAAAAAAAAGGAAAAAAATAATAAAGCCAACATTATGTAGCAATAATTTTTAAAAATTGAACAACACTCATGAAAACGTTTAAAAGTTTTCATTAAAATGTAAATTAAGAAAGTAGTTTTAAAACACAGTTAATACGAAATAAGGAAAGGCAGAGACACGGTATTCAGTAGGTGGGTTTCTAAGTATCTGTGGTTACAGAACACCGAAACGTGGTTTCGAACGCGTGTGATTTGTCCATCTGTTTATAATCATAATGCTCAAGCACCAGCCACTTCCGGCTGTGTTCATTTCAAGGTGCTCCTGAAAATCACCATGGCTCTAACCTCGCAGACCAGACGTAATCCACGTGCACCCCTGTGCTGTGGGCTGCGTGGGTGTGATCCACGCACCACCCACCCATCCTGCTTTCCACAATGTGTCCCAAAGGGGCGGTGGGAGGGACACGGCAGAACCGAAACCAGAAAGACACCAGAAAGACAGAGAGAGACAGAGAGACAGAAAGCGAGAAATCGCCCCCCAGGGGGGATGGCCACACTGCAGTCCCTTCTCCTCCATTCTCCTCTCGGGATCTTGGGCACGCACACACACGCGCCTGGTATGAGTTAAAGCCACTGGGTTCGGGACTTGAACCGCTGTCGTCTACATGGGAGTCCAGCGACATAGCCATTCCGCCATCTGCTGGTCCCCAAAGCTTGCTGATTTTAAAGACTAACACATCTACAATGGAAATCAGGTGAAGTCGGTAACGGGTCTCAGGGAAGCTGTTGATGAAATTTTCAGGGTCAGGGTCACGAATGGTCACAGCACAAGGGGACACTCTGCAGTCAGTCACTGACAGTGTGCACCTGCTGTGTCCGCCACAGGAGATGGCTCAGGAGCATCGAACCCATCCCCAACCTGTCAGAACTCCACACGGGTAAATGTGTATACTCTAGCTTTCTACACTGTGGGTGGTAAGAGTCTTCTTGTGGCTTGAAATAGAAATCTGAATTGAATAGCATCAGCTCACAGCGTCCATGACACACAGGAGCCCTAAGCACCACAGAAGTAGCCGTCATTACTGTTAGCCAGAAAATGTGGTCTGGTCCGCTCCAACCCTTGGGGATGGTATGGTATGAGCCATTACCTGCTAGGAAAAGCACTCAGAAATGCACTTGGCCTAGTAGTGAGGATGCAGTTGCACCATCTTCATAGACAAAAGAAAGCCTATCTTAGAACATTAACCATCGCTACTGTAAAAATGAAAGTTGATGCAATTAGGACTATAATACATGGGACCAGCAGTTAGCGTAATGGCTATGTCGCTGGACTCCCATGTAGCCAACCGTGGTTCAAGTCCCAGACCCGGTGGCTTAAACTCATGCCAGGCACGTGTTCGTGCGTGCCCAAGATCCCCAGAGGACAATGGAGGAGAAGGGATTGCAGCGTGGCCATTGCCCCTGGGGGGTGATTTCTCGCTTTCTGTCTCTCTGTCCTTCTGGTGAGTGCACGCACCCTATAGCAAAACCTATATTAAAACTGTAACTCCATACTCCTCAAAAATGATGTCACTTCTTGCAATATTAATTTAAAAATTCAGGCACTTTAAGTAATCCCAGATGAAATGTTAGCTACACTGGTGGACATACAGATGAAAACATCTTCCTTTATTCTTTTCTTTCTTTCTTTTCTTTCTATAGGGTGCGTGTGCTCGCCAGGAAGACAGAGAGAGACAGAGAGACAGAAAGCGAGAAATCACCCCCCAGGAGGGATGGCCACGCCACAATCCCTTCTCCTCTATTCTCCTCTCGCACGCACACGCACCTGGCGTGAGTTTAAGCCACCAGGTCCGGGACTCGAACCGCAGTCGACTACATGGGAGTCCAGCGACATAGCCTTACGCCAACTGCTGGCCCCAACATCCTCCTCTATTCTGCTTGCATGGACAGGCTGTCTACAATACGAGGAGGTCATCGCACAGCAGTACGATCAGAGAGAAGACACATCGACGCCGAACTCATGTCGGGGATGCCAAAGCGACCCGGCCGTTGCCCTGACTCGGTGGGAGGTCTCGTGACTACGTGCGGCGCGGCGCGGCGCGGCGGCGGTGTTACCTCCACGATGTCGGCGTTGGTCCTGCTCTCGTGCGGCTCGTTGTACTCCGTGTACTTGAGCAGCACCTTGTCCATGTCGGTGCTGGCGTACTGGAACAGCTTGTTGGAGCTGTTGAAGATGATGAGCGCGATCTCGCAGTCACACAGCACGCTCAACTCGTAGGCCTTCTTCATCAGCCCGAACTTGCGCTTGGTGAACGTGACCTAGGCCACCGGAGAGGAAAGGAGGACACTGTGATTACAAGCAAGTAGTACTTGGGCCCGCAGGTGGTCTGGTGGCTAAGGGGCTGGATCTTATATGGCCGACTGCATGGATCAAGCCCCAGATCCCGAGGCTTGAAAAACACTCTGGGGGGCTTGTGTGCGTGCACCCAAAATCCCGAGAGGAGAATGGAGGAGGGG